ACTTGGTTGTTTGTCCTGATCTTGTAGAGATTCGCGAACGAGTAGACCACATCTTTTGAAATACTTTCCCATCCTTCCCAGTTAACCTCATGCCCGGTTCTATTTTATATCTGTATATTGCTGATTTTATTAGCTTTTCTTCCTTGTTGAAGTAGTAGAATGTCCTCCGAACTAGTCTTTGTCTTCTTCTACTTTAAGATAGTATTCTGGTTTCGGTTTAGCTGCAACTCGATCAGGTCTTCGAACATCTCGCTGGGTAGTTGTGATGCTGTTTAAGCTTGAATTTGAAGGTGTAGCCTGTTCATAGGCACACTGTGTTCACTATGTCTTCATACGGCTTGTCTCACAGTTTCACCGATATAAGTATCATCACAATCATTACAAGGTATCATATAAACTAAATGTGACGGCAGATCTTTACATATATAAGTATAATAATAGGACTAGTATACACACAGAAAAAATGTCAGTTCTACATATGTAAGTGTGTAAGACAAACTTGTTCTTCCCTTCTCTCTTTGTGTTAGAATTGTAGATAACTTTTGAAATTTTGTTATTGTGTTTTCGTCTTGAAAATGATATTTAAAATATCGAAAGGTTGACAGTTAATTAAATAAACTAGTTTATGATGATTACATTTAAAGCCGCTGTAAATTCAGTGAGATTTCTTCTCAAATTATTATCCATTACAAAACAAAATTATAGGCCTATTTGTATCCGTTTACGCTTAATTCTGGTTCAAATATTAACCATCATTCCAGATGTGAGCGAGAAGAGGGGTTGTGGTAGGATGAGTGTGAGTTACGAGAAAACATTTCACTCTTCCGGGCAGGTGGGTTGCTTTCTGTCTGCTGGTAATAAATATGCATATTTATGTGAATACGGATACAGACTCTGTCTTTCAAAATCGCTTGTGATTATTGTGCTATTTTGCTTATGAAACATATTCATTTGGTTCAATCTGCAATATTAAAGCTGATCAAGTGTAAACTAATATGGGACGAAATGAGAGAGAAGTGTTGTTGGGACGAACTGAGACACAACAGAAGAATAGACAATTCGTTCTTCTGTTTTCATATTGATGGAAAATTCGAAAGTGGTGAAAGTACTAGGTCGTAGATCGTAAATTCTTTATCTCGCATACGTTCAAATGCGCATACATTCGGATCGTTAAAACCGTGCGCATTACACAGAGAGAAAACCGTTATGTGTCGAACAGTAAGGAGGAGACTGAAAGGGATACGCTTTAGTTTTTCTTTTCTGTATGTCCTTATGTTTCGGCATTCAGGTGTTTGCATGCGACATCAAGAAAAAGACGAATTTACGCTCTAAAATAAAACTTTGTTATCCGTGTTCGCAGAATAAGAAAATCACAGACAAGGATATGTTTAATATGAGTAACAATCAACCTAAAGAAGTGTAATCACGGCTTACTGTACGTAGTGGTTGATGTAAAGTACAAACAGAGACTATGTCTACTCTTTTGCTGTACCTATATTGTTTATATTTCCTCCAAAAATGTTTATCAAGCTCTTGCATTTACACCACTTCAACATGTTCTTGCAGTTTCCTCAGATGCATGTGGTGCTGATGTTCAACATAAACGAGGTACATCTGTCGGTAGGTGGAATTGTTGTGTTCAGAAAATGACGCAGAAACCATTAGTGGCCCAACAAAATATTTTACTTATCATTCAATAATGTTTTTATAGAAACAGAATAAATCTCAGCTGATTTTCTCGGAATACATATCCACGTTTGATAAATAAATTACTTTTACTTTTTTACTCAATTTTTAACATTTTTTTTCTTGATTCAATCATATATGAATAAATTACCGTATGCAACTTCTCTTCTTTTATTATTCAAGTTTGTGAAAGCCTAAGGAAAGGATAAAAGTCCTTTGTTTCTTAACTATCAGTAATAGTACAAATTTTACTTTAGAAATACTCCATCATGTTGAAATGTGTAAGTATTTTAGATTAAATCATTATGTATGGATGGACATCCCAGAATATTTCGGTTTATGAATCATCAAGGTTTTAGTGTTGATTTTATTTTAAGTCATAAAAATAAACAATGTTTATTACATATATTTGGAACTATTTTTCCAGCAAGCACTTTTTACTTTCTTCTTGTTTTTCTCGTCTAGAACCAGGGATTTCACCTCTAAATTAGACGTAATGTACTAAGTTAAAGAAGGTTTTTTCTCTATCGTTGAGAATACAACTGATGAAATGAGGCAGCGAAGAACTAGTCGATTATCAAATAATGAGATGGTGAGTGAATTTAAGATGCAGCCTAGAGAAGCACCATCATCAGACTTAATCACGACAGAAATTATGAAGATTTTACAGTTGTTTGGCTTGATTCCAACGTAAAGCAATTTGAAGATTACTAAAAAACATGAGCGCAACCACACCAGAAAGTTAAGTATTTAAGAGTATTTGATAATCTTAATGAATACAGAAAGTACGTTTCATCTATCTTAAATGAAAAGGTGTTTTTCTATTGTTTCCGGACAGCTCGGAAAACTCATAGTTCCAATTGTCTATGAACTACACCAAATTGTTTTTATTTACATATTTTGTCAGAACACTGTTGAACATGGATCATGATCATCAGAGTTCGGTAATAAAATGCATGGTGTTCATGCGACAAATCATTCATTGTTCGCCAGATTATCAAAAGATGTACGAGGTTACCTCAAAAATCCAACGCCGATGAGTCTGTTTTCTTTGAAGCCAAATGAAAATTCAATTCAAGATGATAATGAAAAGTTTAATAACTTTCAAAAACTAATTAAAGCGGATATTTATATATTGTGTTATATTCCATATCGGAGAAAATTTCTCTCTCTAATGACTCACTGGTAGAAGAGCACGACGGAAATTTAGCCAACAAATACGAAAAATAAAAACTTTATAGAAAATGTGTCATCATGTTCTCTAAATGGTTAGTTTTCGATTGACGTTTGCTTAATTCCTGTGAAATCCTGTCTGAGGATATTTTATATTTTTATTTAAAATGAAATAAAGAAATGACAGAAAGTAAAAAGACAAACCATGTTGGAACCAATAACGAAATATTTTCGAAATAAGTTCTTCGATTCCATATCCAGTTCAAGCACTGATTAAACCATAATTTTTTAACTATCGGTTTTCCTAAATCACGTTTTGTACATTTATTTTCAAGACATTTACGAACATTAGATAAATACGCTTCACTTTCTAATATAAAGTCATTATTAGTTTAATACATTCTTCATATAAACTTTGATAAGGACTGAAAAAAAGAGGTTTTTTTTTCATATATATGCAAAAGAGTCTATGATCCATATTTATGTGATGACAAATTATTTCTAATTTAAAAGCAACCTGCCTTTTGGTAATAGATCAACTTTATTGCCAAGAACAAATATAATATTTTGTGAAGTATTACGATTTTCTATTGTTTGATCAATAAGATGTGACCATGATCAACTAATTGAATTTGGTATATTAAGAAGATCAATAATTAAAATAATTAAAGCACATTTTCGTTTTATTTCTGTTAAAATATCTTTATAAATTTGTTCATTAACTTCACAATGTGATATATCATTTGTATATTTAAAAAGAAAACATCTTTGACATTGACTTGTTCGTTTTTGTAAATTTATTCAAAGATAATGTTTATATATTTCAACTAATATAAACCGTCTAGAATATAGATTAAAAAATAAATGATTATATTTAAAAAAGAATATCTTACGCTATAGTTTTATCAGCACATTGAAGCGCTGTTCCACAATCAAAACAACGAGCTGTTTCATGACTAGGTATTGTTTGATCTTCTGTTCCTAAATCCATTTGAAATTGATTTTTTACTGATGGAAAAGCCACAATTGAAGGATGAGGTAAATCATCTTTATCTTCATTTATTTGTAACATAATATCATGTTTTGGTATTTGTGAAAAGAGATTTTCAGTTCGATCTGTTGTTCGCGAATGTTGTTGAACAAGATATTTTTTATTTTCAGATAATTGATCACCAAAACGAACAGCATATGATGTATCTTTAGAAAGAATTTGACAAATGACAGATGAGAGATTATCTAATGAAACAGATTTTATTTCAGTAATGATATGTTTTACATCACTTAATGATGATTGAGAAGAACGACGAACTGATTGAAAACGACGAGTATTAATTCTAAAAGATGTTGAACGTTGGAGGAGTGATATTCTTCGCAAATTTAATATTAGTAGAAAAGTTCCATATACAAATAGAATTGTTTTAAAAAAACATCTTAATAATGAAAAATATTCGGCGGCAAACTGCCTCGTTCTAATAACATTGATAAAGAGATAGTCGAATTTCAACATAAAATGGATATCTATTTCCTATTTCAACTCATTATATTCAATAATACTGAATTAATAGTAAAATGGCGTCGTCGATTTGAATCTGAAATGAATTTACCAAAAAGTGGTGTATCATATACTATACATATTCATCTGGTGAAAATTCCTTTTATGAAGATTGTTCAAGTGAACATAATTATATTAATTATCGACAAAAGAAAATGCAATCTTTTAATTCTGATTCATATAAAAAAGAGAAATGACTTTATGATACACCAGAAGTTATTTTACTCGAACAAGTAAAAACAAATATTTTATATTTATTTCGACTTTAATTTATTTATTTTCTATTCAAGATGATTAATCAATGTACTATGCGTTCCAAAATACAAGACAGTCAGCCACTTTTTGAATAACTTTTGATAGGAATAAGATAGAGACCTGCGA